CTTCCATAGTGATACTGCCTCGGAAACCCAAGGAGGGGCCGCTATGAGTCGGGGCCGACTCAACAGCATATAACAACAACAACATCATCACTACGGAAATAGATTGCCCAACCTTCCTTCTGAGGAGTGGCTGGTGGGTTTGAACCACCAGCCTTCTGGTTAGCAGTCAAGAGCCTTAGGCACTATGCTACCAGAGCTCCTATATTATTTATTAGATCCCTAATTTATCTTAAAGCACTTTAGTCTTTAAAAAATGTCACTGCCTGAGGAAGTCTTGGGAACTTGTAACCTCACAGACCATGGATTATATTTCAGTCTATTTTCTACTCTGTGCTTACCAAGTACTAAAATATTTATTGAATAGATGAAAAATGAACTGGAGACTGTAATTTTATGGGGGGAAAAATAAAGTGGTTTTAAACCCAGTGTTCCTTTTTGACAGCAGAGGCTAAACACCTTCAATATCAATTTAGAAATTAGTAAAATGTGCAGTTACCCTAGTTCCCTTTGGTTGGTTATTATATTCCAGTTCCCCTTGAAGCCAGTTATTAACATGTAACACTTATTAAAAGTCTTTTTAAGAGTTTGCATAAAAGCCTTTAGTTAGCTGCCTTCTGCACTGGATAATTTCTTCTCTCCATGTACTTAAGATCCATATTTTCTATTTAAATTGTTGAGTTAGCTATTTACAGGTCTACGTGTGCAAAGCCTTGAGTTAGGAAAATTGGCAAAAAAAGTATTTATAAAACTCAATTCCTGCTCTTTAGGGGCAGTTTTTAGTTAGAAGATGAGACCATAAAGTGACTAGGTCAATATATGCTAAATGTAAAACACGTTAAGCAGTAGAACTTTTCATGGGTTTTCAGTTAGGAAAGTCATACTGTGAGTTGCAGGTGATGGTGGTCTCCCATTTTCACTTCCAGTTTCTTACGTGTGTGGTAAATGTGACCATTTTTCTAAGTGTTTACTAAGTGAAGTGCTATACCAGGTAAAAAGCAGTTCTAGTTCAACCCTAAGGAAATTCATACCCCTTTCTGGCCCTCAGTTTCCTTATCTATAAAATAAAGGGGGAGAATTAAGTGATTCAAAAAAATCGTTTTTAATTAATGAGAGCTTTTAAAATATGAAATCTTACCTAGAAGCTTAATATATAAATCAGATTTTTTTTTAAAAAAAGCTGCTTTCTGGGGGGTGGGGGAGGGAGTTGTGGGCTGGCACATGGAGAACAGCTCAGCCTAACCTGCCTTCCCTGGGCAGCATGGAGGTACCTTCTAGGCACTGCTTCTGCTCTTGTGAGCAGCTTCAAAACCACTGGACTAGGATACATGGCTGGATTTTAGATGCTTTATGAAATATAGTACTATCTAGTCTGGTAGCATAGTGGCTAAGACACTTGCCTGCTAACCAGACAGCTGGAGTTTCAAACCCACCAGCCACTCCTCGGAAGGAAGGTTGGGCAATCCTACTTCCGTAGTGATACTGCCTCGGAAACCCAAGGAGGGGTCGCTATGAGTCGGGGCCGACTCGACGGCACATAACAACAACAACAACAAGTTTATTGCTCTACTAAAACCTTTCAAGAACAGTTAACATTTATAGTGCTATATTTCTGTATTTAAAAGGGAAAGACATAAGCTAACCACCAAAAATGTCTGAGAATCAAGTTAATATTTATTCCTGAAAACTTTTCTTTTACAGCAAGAATAATAACAACTTTAATGACCACCAGTGACCTTACAGGTAAGCAAAATAAGTATTTTTTATCCCTACTTTATTTTTGAGTTTTATGCTATTTGTGACTGCTTCTTGTAAATTGTCTTAGGGTTTAATAGATCAACTTGGATGTACTGGATTATAAATTTAGAGGACAGCACTAATGTATGCCTAGTGTTTATCAGTCACCATTCATAATATTAAACACCTGGCAATCAGCTCTAGGAAATCCTGTGGGGCAGTTCTACCCTGTCCTGTAGAGGCACTGAGTCAGAATCAACTTGATGGCATGCTCCACCTTCCTACAGTACCTAGAAAAGACTATGAAAAAGATTGTTGTTGTTACATGCCGTCAAGTCAGACCCAACTCATAGCAACCCCTCCTTGGATTTCCAAGGCAGTATCACTAAGGAAGTAGATTGCCTAAACTTACTTCCAAGGAGCGGCTGGTGGATTTGAACCCTCCAGCCTTCTGGTTAGCAGTCAGGTGCCTTAGGCAAGAACAAGATGAACAACAAGACAGTAGATATTTATCTTCATGGAGCTTCCATTCCATCAGTGGAAATGGATGGTGAAGTAATCACACAATTAACTATTCAATTGTAATGTGACATGAGTTTTCATAATAGAAGATTAGCACCTAAAAGGGGAACTTGATCTAGTTTGAAGGAACTGGCAAGATTAATTTTAAGTGTGACATAACAAGGATGAGTGGAGGTTTAACCAGAGAAAAACATGAAGACAATGCTTACATGGAGCAGCAGCATGCCTGAAGGCCTTGAGGGAGGGAGGGGTGCCTTGAGCAGGGCTGGAAGGCAGAGCACACAGGGAGTGAAGAGGAAGAGTGATGTCAGAGGGAGGTGAGGCTGGCAGTGGGAAGCCTCTGAAGCCTTTCTGAAGCAAGAGAATGACAAATCATTTGATTTCATTCTCTTGTTATTCTGAAGGAGTGCTGTGATGGAGGAGAAAATAGCCAATTTAAAGTGTCTCTGTGCCAGAGACATATTTCTGATCTTCATAGACTAAGTGACACCATCTATTTTAATAATTTTCTAAAAGATGAATAATGTATGTTTGATTTGGGAGTTGACAACTCAGTGTTAAGTCAGGCCAAGTTGCCAGACACAGTTATGATAAGATCGTTTTTTCAGAACTATTTGGAGCCAAAGTTTAAAAGTTCTCACAATCTATACTTAAATTCATACTTAAATTTCATTTTGCAGCAGGAGGTAATTTTGTTCTATAATGTGAAACTAGTATTTTTTCTAACTCATTACTTTTTCTTTCTTTTTCACTGATTTCAGTTCTTGTACGTTTTGTGATCATGCTGGCTTTCAATATATGGGTAACGGCAACAGTACTTCATTATCGAAAGACCAATGTGAAGGCTGAATAATGGATACATACAATTTCAAATAGCTGAACCAAAGGAAAACCAGCACACTGCGGTCTTTAATACATTCAGTCAATCATTTCGGAATCTTTCAATCTGAAGGTTTAGATATGGAAGAGCCTTTTAAACAATGGTTTAAAAAAGTTAATTCCCTCTTTTTCTGACCGTTTATCTTGCTTCCCCACATTATTAGGTTATGGTCCAAAACTGAAACCAAACTCACTGCCATAGAGTCGATTCCGACTCATAGCGAACCCCACTGGGTTTCCAAGGCTGTAAAATCTTTCTTTGTGGAAGTAGATTGTCCAGTCTTGCTTCCATGGAGTGGCTGGTAGGTTTGAACCACCAACTTTCTGGTTAGTAGTTATATCCCTTAGGCACTGTGCTAGGTTATGGTAGGGCTCAGAAACCTGCAGTTTTGAGAAGGTTGGTGACTGATGGAAATAATACAAGCACTTTTTGAGGAGACTACTTTGACCCTCATTCTTGAAGTCATAATTACATTCTCTCCAAGGAGCTAACTACATCTGTTTCTCAGCTTCCAAAATCTTTTAAGAATAATTACTCTCTACAGCACAAATAGGAGCTCTGGTAGCATAGTACCTAAGGCACTTGACTGCTAACCAGAAGGCTGGTCGTTCAAACCCACCAGCCATTCCTCAGAAATAAGGCTGGGCAATCTACTTCCATAGTGATACTGCCTCGGAAATCCAAAGTGGGGTCGCTATGAGTCGGGTTCGACTTGACGGCACATAACAACAACAACAACAGGACAAATGAACATGAATAGAGGGGGATTATGCTCAGATTCAGAAGTAGAACTGTAAATAGCTAAAGTCACTTTCTGGGACTATACTAATTGTAACAGATATAACATGATGGTCATGTGTCATAATATAGTGTATCTCCTTAGGCTACAGGAAGGATATCAAAGCAAGCATAAATGTAGTTTGACTTGAGTTTGCATACCAAAACAGTCTTTGACTCATACCGTGCCTCTTTCAGTAATGTGCTTAAAAGGTATTACATTAAAAAGTACTATTAACTGCAATCTCCACATAATAATGAGGCAACCTCAACATTTCTGATTCAAACACAGTACTACCATTTTTAAAAGAGCCAAACATACACAGTTATCATTATTGGGATATGGTACAAAATATAGTTGACTTGGACCACCTTTTGTCTTTGAAAATAAGGGTATTGCTAGGTTCTACTCAATTCTTGGGAGCACTGATAGCATAGTGCCTAAGGTACATGACTGCTACCCAGAAGGCTGGCAGTTCAAACCCACCAGCCACTCCTCGGAAGGATGGTTGGACAATCTACTTCTGTAGTGATATCACCTTGGAAACCCAAGGAGGGGGTCACTGTGAGTCAGGGCTGACTTGATGGCACATAACAACAACTCAATTCTTATGTATTTTATGTTCATTACAGTATCTTATTCTAAATGTAACATTAAGATTTTTGTACACCATATTTTCCTCTAACATTTAAACATGTACTTCCCCCTTATAACTGAATGTCATTATTCTTTCATATGCAATAAGTAAAATGTTTAGTGTTCTATGTAAAATAAACCTTCATATCTTGAACTCTGTTGAGTTTTAACACTTAATTCATTTTTAATGTGATTTAAGTTATGTATGGTTGAGATAAATAAATTGATTCTGTAGTTGACAACTAAATCATAGTTGTCATTTTTAAAAAATCCAAGTAAGCTAATTTTTGTGATCATGCAGTTACAATCTGTCCATAAGTATAAATATAAATTATGTGACTTTATTTTTATTCCAAGAAATGTTTTATTTTTATATATATTTTTTTATCGTTGTTGTTAGTACTTTATCATCAACAACAACAAAGCAACTCCATTTTCCCATTTTAGGAGGGAAAGGAACAAACATTTGAGTTATTCCAGGTATTTTATACATATTATCATATTTAATCTTGCAATGATAAGGTAAACATAATCTTCATTTTACAGATTTTAAAAAAAAAGAAACAAAAGCCCAACCAACCACACAGATGCTTGGAATAAATGACTTGCCCAAGATCAGACAGCTAATAAGTGGCCTAGAAAAGAACCCCCTGACTACCAGAGAAAATTCTTTCTAGGAAACCATATACTATGCCTGACAAAACTAGCAACCTAACTCTTTCCCTATCCTTAGCAACTGAAATGAAATTGCTATTTGTAGGTCCCTTAAAATACCAAAATCAAATCAGTGACAGGCTCCTGGTTGAAATTGTTTGTATTTTTCCATGAATTAAATGACAAGGTAGAAAAATCTTAAGTCTATATAACCTTAGTTATAAGACTTGCTGGAGTCCCTGGGCAGTGCAATGTTTAACCCACTCAAATGTTAACCAAAATGGTTGGAGTTTACAGCCTACCCAGATGCAACTCGGAAGAAAGCCTGGCAATCTATTTCAGAAAATTCAGCCATTGAAAATGCCATGGAGCACAGTTCTACTCTGACAACATGAGGTGGGTCACCATGAGCTGGAATTGACTTGTTGACAACTGGTTGAATCGTTTGCTATACTTATCTTTTAGGGAAGGCATATTTTCATGGAAATTTTTTTAGAAAACTGCAGCAATTCCAGGACTGTTTCTCAGGAAAAGTATGAAAATGTTTACATCTTAATTTCTTTTATTATTATTTTTTATAAAAAACAGGCATAAAATACAATTACATTACTACAAAGATGCAACAAAATTTAAAAAAAGAAAAATCAAGGGGTTCAATTTTTGTTCAAAGGGACAGCTGATCAAATATTTGATTATCTAAATCATGCAGCTCATAACTTACACAATTCCAAACAAAATTCATTATTATGGGGAAGGCAATCAAAGAAGAAGCCCCCAAACATAATATTCAGCACTGTTATACAGTGCTTATCTTCAAAGTGCTTTACAATCAACTATGGTATCTTCACAACATAGGGAAACTTAAGTCTGATTCCAGGGAAGGAGAGGTGAGTCAGTAGCAGTGTCAAAACACACTGAGAAACTCAGAAGTGACTTGCTAGATTTTAAACATGTTACTTATAGCATGTTTCAGTAAGGTAATATAGTATGAGCTTCTCATTTTACTACCAGAATCCTGTAAGAATAGATTAACAACAGCAGCATTTACTTCTTAAATTGTGGTTTGGCAAAATCTAGAGTATATTTTGTTTAGGATCTACAAATAAAGTAAATCCTTCAGAGCCATATTAATGTAATTCTAGCATAGGTTAGTTTAACAAACACTAACCTTTATTTTAGATTTATTGGTATATATATCTTTTAATTAACTAGCACATTTTAAGCTTTCAGAAGATTTTTTTAAAAAAAAATCTTGTTTCTAGATAGCATTTTTTTTAAATTAACTTAAAAAAAGATATTCACTGTACATTAATTTTTGACAGTAATACCAGCGCCAGTTTTCCCTCTACTCCTGTCTTGCTAGCCCCACAAAAGTAAAAAATCCAAGTAAGAAAATCTCAGTATTCAGTTTCTTAGTTTCCCATAGGAGGTATTTATTGCTCTAGGAGAAATCAGGTGTTAAGGAAATAAGCAACTTTTGTTCTTACGAAGATTTGGAAGCTTTAGGGTCTCAAAAAAAAAAAAAAAAAAACTGGCACAAAATCATGTTGCTAAACCAAGTCCATATCATATTTAATGAGTGGTGGAAGAGAACATTTGGATAGATGCATGCACTCATGCAGATGAAATGCACATGAAAGCAGCAATGGGGTAAAAAGCAAATTCTTTCTTACCCAAGGTCCAGATTTTTTATTAAGCACATTTCCATTAGCTGGACAAACCACCTTATAAACCTTTGTGTTAAAAACATATAATGTGAAGAATCTCCATGGGAGAGATTTTTTCACCCCTCAGAAAACCATTTATTCCCCTCAAAAAAACTTCACATTAGTTTTTCTTGTACAGTTGCATCACATCATGATTCTCCATATTCTCTAATATATACAGCATTCAAAATTTAAACCTTTGTCTTTTTATGCAAATATTTCAATTACCCATGTGTAAACTTCAAATTATTTCATCTTAATAAAGTTTATTAAAAATATATATATATATATATATACTCTCCAATTCTGAATAATAGGATAGAACCTCCCATAATGTAGCAAAATCTTTATATAAAATATTAATTCAGTCTCCTTTTAACAAGTTCTAATGAATGGAAATAATTATTCTATATAAATTTTATATATTTTTCATTTTACTTTAAAAAAAAAAAAAAAAAAAGCTGTGCCTCAAAACTAGAACTGCAGGAAATCTATCTGCAAGGGAAATGGCATTTTATATCTAGTTTTAGCACAGACAGCAAGAAAGAGTGCAGATTCGGTAATGTAAGAGAAAACAAAATCAGTTTCAGTGTATCACTAGGCAATTTTTCAATTTCCACAATATTATCTATAATTGGAGATCTAACTTTTCAAACATCTCTACACTGACCCAGGAAGGAATCAATGAAATGCCTGCTTTCTTCACTGAACAATTAGATGATGTATTTCAATATCCTACCATACTGTGTATGTGTGTATAGAGAGAGACTGATAAAAAGACTAGAGTTTTTTTCTTTTACTTGATTTCATTGCTACATACTGTAGTGTAGTGGTATAAACACATACTTCTCTGGTGTTATGAAAAACATAGCAGGAATGGGGCCTGCATAAACTGTAACTTTAATAGCATTTTTAAAATAAAAATAAAATTAAGTGCCTTTGAGGCCACTTCTTCCCAGTTACTAGTTTTCTTTACCCAATACTGAAATATTGCCATACAGAGTTGTGTTTGAGGATCACATTTAAATATTTAAAATCTATCTACAGTATGTCTTAGTTTTCTTTATATTTGAGACAATTACTGAATTTTGAGTACGAAATGTAAAAAACGGTCACAATATTTTTTTCTTTTACCAGAAATAAAAACACATCTAGGGTACTCAGTAAATTCAAAACAAAGAAAACATTTCATAGCACTTAAGTCACAGACTAATACTGAGGTCTGTAAAAGGGGTTGGATGAATAATAGATATACATCAGAGATATATTAGTTTGAATACTATTCATTACTGTTTCTATGACCAATACTTAAAAAAGAAACTGTTATACAATCAAAATAGACTGACATTGATATAACTATTACGTGTAAAAATAGTGCACTATTTTTCTTCCACAAAGCAAATTTTCATCCTAATAGCGGTAAACAAACACTTGTTTCTTTAAAATAATAATAATAATAATAATAATAATAATAATAATAATAATACAGCTGAAGGGCTAGGACTTTGAAAAAAATTAAATTAAGGCATTCAAAATGGGTAAAGTTGACTATTATGAAGCATTATGAAACTGATATAATTGACTTCAAATTCTGTTACCTTAATTGTTTAAACATTAACATGCAGCTTTTATCAGGTCCACATGAATGAATGATACAAACCAATATTATGGCTTTATACAAGTGCATAGTTGCAACTGCAGTAAGTAATGATATCTGATTAATATGTATACGAAAATAAAATGGGAAGTTTTAAAAACCCTCTTGCAGTATTACAGTACTATATATATATATATATATATATATATATGTGTGTGTGTGTGTGTTTGTGTATATATTATATATCATATATATATATTATATGATATATAATATATACATACACACATATACACACACAGTAATAGTTATTTCTTAAAGATTCAGTCCATTTCATTGTAGTGGAATCCACTCTCAGTTTCTTCTGGCAAATGTGCTGGTGAAATCTCTCTGTTAAAGCTGAAAAGATGATTTTCTTTAAACTTTTAACTATTCTCAATCCTTTTGTGCAATGTAGTGTGACTGCCAAGAGAGCTTTATGGAATCAGTTTGCAAGGCTTGCATGTGGTATCCTTACTCTATAAACCAATCACTGCTGGTTCAACTTTTTGCTTCAAAGGAGTCCAGAAATCTCCCCAAGACTTATAACTTGTAACACAGAAAAAAGGGGAACACACATATGTATGTGTATGTAAGTATCAGTCTCTCAGGAAAGTATAGTTTTTTAATCAATTTTGGGCCATCATATTTCAGTCTTATTTTAACTGGAAGAATATGATCACCTTGATTAACGACTGCATTCATAGAAGGCAGTTAGCTAGAAAGAGAAAAAAAGAGGTTAGAATATACAATGAATAATTCAAGAAATTATTAAATTCTTTGAAATGGCATTATAATTACATTATTAAACTATTGTCATTTAACTACTATACTTTTAAACACCTAAATCATGCATAAGCCTACTTATTATGTATTACATAAACTGTATTCTGTTTCCTGTTTTTAGGTACATGCAATTATCTTCTTTCTCAATACAACTATGGACTTTGGAAATACCAGATTGGCTACACATTACACACAAGTTTTAATACAATTAACTAGCTACTAGGTGCAGTGAATTGCTTGATGTGGCCCTTCTAGCCATTGTCCTCCATTCTGTGATGTTTTGTAAATTCCATTATCCATGCCTGTTTGGGATGCTGTGGTAGTTAAGGTCAGGTATCAGCTTGACTGGGCAGCTGGTAGTAGTCATTCCCTATAATGACTGGCAATCGACTCTGTGATGGGATTTAGGTTAATTCTGTTGGGGCAACACAGGTGGAATGTATCTTGAGTCCTGCCTTGCAGGAGGGTATAATTCAAATCACCAGCCTTAGCTTCCCTGAGGGTATACCTATGAATCTCCTGGGAAGATTCGCTCTCCTTTTGCTCCGGCTTTGTGTCTTGGATCATCCTCATCTCACCCCTGGATTTGGGACAGCAGCTGTCATCTGATCTGCTGATCGAGGTTCATCAAACCCCGAGAGTTGGGAGGATCCGCCAGACCTACTCACGGACCCGGGACTCGCCAGCCTGCCAGCCTCCACCACTACTACGTGAGACGAACCCTTGGGTGTCTGTGAGTTCTGTGAGGCGTTACAGCAAAATACAGAACCCTAAGACTGGGGAAATTATTCGGAGGAGGAGGAGGAGTTAATGTCTGAAATGATGGAGTGGCATGGTAGTTTGGACATTTGGGACATCTTTGACCTCCGCCTCATGGGGACCAGCCTCGTGCTGATCTTTCTAAGAGAAATTGTTCAAGCACTAGGGTTAAACAATCTATCACAGAATAACACATCTGCATGTAAGTTTGATTTGGGGTTCCACTGCAAGCTGTTTCATATAGTTGAAAGAGCAGTGAATTTATGAACCAAGGTCTAGCTGACACATTTTCCTTATCAATGAAATAAGAAGAACAATGTTGCAGTAAATGTATGTAAAAATACTCTGTGAAACCTGGTTATAAATAGATCCCAATTTTTACATGATTTAAGTATTTGTTATGCAACATGCTTACGACAGACATTACTTCTTATAAATCCATTCCATGTAAAAGGTTTAATTCATGAGGCTCTTCTTTTATTCAAATCTTAATCAATATTAACTAAATTATGTTTTCTAAAAGCACAAGAACTTTTACAACATATCATTAGCGTTCTTCAGCAAGGGTAATATTGAATTCTCAAAAAGCAAACACTTCACACAATCACAAGAAGGCCAAATCAGAAATAACTATTTCACAGCACTTATTAGACTTACAGTTTTTATGGTTTTAATTCTCACAAGTTAGAAAGAAGGAAAGAGAAGGAGGGAAAGGCAAAGGGATGGAAGTAGGAAGGAATCTCATGCTATGTTCACAAACTAATACAGTTGTAGGAGGTTGAAAACATTGTCAGATTTATGTCTCCTCTGGATATGGCTTCTTTAGAATGAACACAAAGTACTAGAATTAGCTTCTTTTGTTATTTCTACATTTCATTCTTAAAAGCTATAATCCCTAGTGCATTGAAAATTTATAGCCAATAAAGAATCTGAACATAGCATTTCACTTTTCTACAAACTACTTTTTAAATATGTATTAAAACAATTGTACAAAATTCCAAAACTAGTCAAAAATAATGAAAGCCCAAGTGCAAACCACATGCACTACTTGGAAATATTAAAATAACTCAATTTTTCATTTTTTGATTTACCCCATTTATTTCTTCAGAAATCAAAAACATCGTCATCATCATCACCATCAACATCATCAAATGACCAATCCCAGTCTTTAAATGCCAAATCAAGCAATCTGCAACAGGAGGTTTGCAAATTTACTCTAAAACTCTTTAAAATCTGTAATTTAATATTATGATGTAGAAATCATACAATGTATTCTGAGCAATTTCTTTCCCTTCATAGATTATAATACGATTAAAATTAAGACAGAAGCATGTAGGGTAAATGCATGCTATTTTGGCCAGGTACACTTTCTAAAATACCATAGAGGTGAAGACAGAGAAATGCAGTATATTTGGAGACATATACTGCATTTTCTCCCCAGAAGATGTTGTCATGCTGCTGCCCAGTTTGATAGGTCATGTTTTTCCAGAATAGGAACATAAACCCTTGTATCATATAAATAAACTGGACTTTGAGCAGCGCTATGTATGGTCTTTTCTTTTCAATCCAACTGCCTGAATTATAATATTGCAATCATCTTTATTTGAAAACACAAGAGTGACTTTCATTGTTTATAATTGTGACATCCATTAATCAACTCATGACAAGAAACTCATCTGCTTCCCAAAGTCTCAGCTGTGTTCACTGTGCAGTGGTTCTTGAACGTTAGAAAATAAAATTCACCTACTGCTATTTATAATGCATCCAGGCTTCATCCCAGGAAACTGTGATATAATTGGACTGAAGTGGGGTGGAAGTTTTGCATTTTTAAAATAATAAACCCTAGGTGAATTCTGATGCAACTGGTTGACAGTGACAGAATAGGCTGATGGACTGACTCCTCTAATTTAAAAGTAAACTAACTTTAATTACACTTTTCAAAATGCAATGAATATAAAATAGTATTTGAAGAAACATGCCCACTTAGATATAATTATTTAATCACTTAACAATACTTATCATGTTGTTGTTGTTGTTATATGCCATCCAGTCAGCCCCGACTCATAGCGACCACTCCTTGGGTTTCCGAGGCAGTATCACTACGGAAGTAGGATTGCCCAACCTTCCTTCCGAGGAGTGGCTGGTGGGTTTGAACCGCCAGCCTCCTGGTTAGCAGTCAAGTGCCTTAGGCACTATGGTACCAGAGCTTAATATATATAGTGAAAACTTTGAGAGCTAGAACTTGACAGGACTGCCTTGTTTTTCCAGGTTTCATAAATTTTCTGCCTTTGATAGGATGGAATCCTATCACATTTTTTTATTGCTCTCCATTAGTGGAAAATATGTGCATTTTCCTTCTCTGACAGATTTCTGCCTTTCCCAGCTTCTGGCTTTTGCACGTTTTACTGTCCTCCTTTGTATAGGCTAGTACTTGACTGCTAACCAGAAGGCTGGCAGTTCACACCCACCAGTCACTCCTCGGAAGAAAGGTTAGGCAACTTCCATAGTGATACTGTCTCGGAAACCCAAGGAGGGGTCCAACTCGACAGCACATAACAACAACAACAAAATATAAAGTAACTTTTAACTATGGTTTCAGCTCTGCTGGGAAGACTGAGAAGAACTCAGGATCTGAAACCCTTCTTGGGTGTTGTAGCCTCAATTTTAGCATACTTTATGAAAATCTATCATTTCATACTATTATGGATTGATTTATGTTCCCCTAAAATATGCACTGTAAATCCTGAGGCGGGGGGAGTGTGTTGTAAAGCTTTTGGTTATAATGCCATTTGGCAATGGGTTTTTGTTATGTTAATGAGGCGGGATTAGTGCAGGGTATATTTTTTAGTCAACCTCTTTTGAGACAGGGAAAAGATTAAACTCTCATGTGAGAAGCACAGATGGGGGAAAAGAGAGGTCAAGACATCCGATGATCTCCAAGGAAGCATGAAGGAGAAGCTGACGAGACAAGGACCTTCCCCCAGAGCCAACAAAGAGCAAAAGCCTTTCCCTAGAGCCAGTGGTCTGAATTTGTACTTCTAGCCCCTAAACTGTGGAAATAAATGTTTCGTTAAAGTCAACACCTGTGGTATTTCTATTATAGCAGCACTAGATAATAAGACAGAAGAGAGGGGTGAGGCTCTAACAAATACTTAAAATGTAGAAGTGGTTTTGGAATTGGGTAATGGGTAGAGGCTGGAAGAGTTTTAAGGTGTCTAACAGTAAAAGCCTAGATTGCACTGAAGAGACTGTCAGCAGAATTATGGAAATCAAAGGCAATTCTGGTGAAGACCTGATCAGAAGGAATTGAGGAGAGTTACAGAGAAAGCGTCTATTGGCTTAGAGAACGCATATGGCATCAGCAACAGAACGCTGCTAGAAATGTGGATGTTAAATGTGCTGCTAGTGAGGCTTAAAAGAAAACAAATGTAATTGGACAATGGAGGAAGAGCAGTCAATGATGCTTTTTATGCAGTGGCAAAATACTTGTCTGAATTATGTTCAAATGCCTGGTGGAAGGCAGAAGTTGTAAGTGATGAACTTGGATATCTGGCTGATGAGATTTCTAAGAAAGATTTTAAAGGGGCTGCATGGTTTTTCCTTGCTGCTTATAATAAAATGTGAGAGGAAAGAGGTGGACTTGTTCACCAACAACGTGGTGAATGCTCACCAAGGATGTGGCTAAACAATCTTTTGTTAAAGAGATTAAGCCTGTGACTAGGGACCTAACCAATCACCACAGCAGAAAACCTATCAGCTCAGACTGAAGGGGACTGAGAAGGAACTAAGAGAAAGAAAAGTGTCTACTTCTTAGAATTCTACCAGCAAGAAACAGGCCAAAGGATCTATAACCATTGTTCTCCATGAAAAGACTCATCGCTGGAGTAGTTCAAAGATCAACAGAACTGTTAGAAGAGCATGCAAAGCTGAGCCTTCTCGGTTTCAAAGGGTGGAGCCATGGTCCTCCCGGATCTTAAAGGGTGAAGCCACAGCCTCCTAGGTTTCTAAGAGTCAGATCAACTCAGTTCAGTGTGGCCCTGCTGTTAAGATGTGCCAGGGGGATGAGACTTTTGCCTAAAGCTGAGGGGGGCAGGGCAAAAGAATGGAGCCTGACAGGGCCAAGGAAGTGGGGTCACACCTCTCAGATAGACGAGGAAAATGGGACCCCCCCAA